TTAAAAATCAGAATAATAAATTTATTTTGCCAGTGAATAGAATAATAGTTAAAGCAGCTTAAATCGACAGGTATCAGAAACGTAAAAACCAAAAATTTTCTTATTCAGAATAAGTGATATGGGTTATCGTCTGAAGTAAAATAAACATTTTCTTTTAATAAAATACTAATAAAATTTTGAAAAAAGTTATAATATTTTAAATAAAAAAGCCGCTCAGAATGGAAATATTGATTTAGTTCTAGTTCAGACGATAGCCACACTTCTCCTGCAGAATAAGAAAATTTTAGCTTTTTGCGTTTCAGATACCTAAAACAGCTAAAATTATTTACATCGTCTGTCATTTATAGTGACCAGGATATAACAAAAAAAGAGCATTTTTGTTACTTAAAAAATAAAAATAAATTTTTAAAATAAAGTGAAGAAAACATGCAAAATTTAACGTTATTCACTTTTTTTGTTTCCCTATAAAACATTCCTGAAAAATATATATTTTAATGATCTTTTAAATTAAAATATCTCCGTTAATAATTCTTTATACATTCTCTTCCTAACGTGTGTGTGAAGCTATCGTCTCATTTTGCAGAAACTCACAAATTATTGAGAGTTCAAAAAACGCGTCAGTACAAACTGAGACGCTATGTTCACGCAGCGTCTCATTTTGTCCTACACAAGTTCCACCACTGTATCTCATCAGATTTTGCAAGATCTATAGTTCTATAACAGTTCTATAAAGAGTTCTGCCATATAAAAGCAAAAAAATTAATTATAAGGTACTAAAAAAAATTACAATGCATCGAGTATACCGGTTGAGACGCCAGTTGAAATCTCGGAGTTCCGGTTTATGTAAAATCTTTTTCGAGTAGTTTTGAGCATATTGAAACATTTTCTAAAGAGTTCCGAGCGTTAGAATCTTTGTGTTATATTTAAAAAAATTAATATTAACCGAAAAGTAATCATGACAGAAGAAGATGAGACGCTGTGCGAAATCTCGGAGTTTTGGCTTATATAAAATATTTTTCGTATAGTTCTGAGCATACTAAAGCATTTTCTAAAGAGTTCCCGCCACTAGCTACGTTGTATAATGTAAATATATGTAAATATATGTTTATTAACTTAAGCAAACACTAGCTACGTTGTATAATTTTTAAATAAATTAATACCGCTCGAAAATCAGGAATTTATCGAAAATAAGGTGAGACGCTGGCCGTATTTTGGCAGTTCTGTGAGTTCTGCTATAATTCTCGTGTAGTTCTGAACGTGTTCTAACATTGTCCCATTTTATTCTGGCAATAAGCATTATTTATTCATTTTTTAAATAATTCTTATCGCTCGAGAAAGACCCTATTCTCGATAAATTCCTGACCTTCGTGCGTTATTAATTTATTTAAAAATTATACAACATTGCCAATGCCCGGAACTTTTTAGAAATTGTTTTAGTATGCTTAGAACTGTACGAAAAATATTTTATATAAGCCAGAACTCCGAGATTTTCTACAGCGTCTCACCCACATACCCGTAAATGCGTCTTTCTTGGGCGATAAAAATTATTTAAAATATGAATAAATAATGCTTATCGTCAGAACTCTTTAGAAATAAACGTTAGAACACGTTCAGAACTATACGAGAATTATAATAGAACTCACTGTTACCCATGTGTATTGTTTATTTAAGAAAGTGTTTTTATTTTTATCCAATTATCCTTCTGTTGTTGCTCGTAATTTGGCCGCTTGAACATGCATAGGTAAAATAAATTTAATAAGAGTGCAAGAAACATTATAAATTACCATTTTTTTCTCAATATAGTTAATAATATAATTATTGGTATGCATTTAAATATTAAATTTAAAATTTATTATGCAAAGTAAAGGTTTTTAATGTAACACTTTTTTAAATAGAAAACCATAGAACAGTGATTTCTATACATTACATTTACGAATTTTAGTTTTTATGTTTATAAATATTGATTTAATTAAATATATTTGCAATCTTTATATATTTATAAATTTCAAATATATATATA